GAAGAAAAATGAAAAAAGCAAACAAAAAACAAAAAAAAAAAAAAAAAAAAAAAAAAACGGATGTCAATGGCAATTAAACACTATCAATAGATTGTGCAAAAAATGATTCAAAATTTTCAGTTTCCTCACCATCTCAACGTATTCTTAGAATTTACCAATCTTCACCTTTCTCTCTTCAACTCTACAAAAGATACCATTAGCAATCACATTAAACCCTTGACACAAAACAAGTTACAATGATGCAAGTAACCAAACAATGGAACGCACAAACAATCATAAATTAGAAAAGCGCTTACACTATCTCAATTAAGTTCAATTATAAGCCTCCTTTTAGGAAAGTAAAAAAGCAAACCCTAATTTTTTTTATTTTAATAATGATAATAATGAAACAAGTAGATCCTGAATAGCTAGATGGTTACGAGATTGTGAATTTAGGCAAAATAGAGCAAAACGAAATTGAAGATGGATCTACATAAAATGAGTTTATTAATTAAAAATATGAAGTAGCGTAGAAATTGAAAACTGTGATTTGTAATAAAATCAGAGAAATAGCGAAACGAAGAAAACAAATCAATTACTCAAATCGAAGTTGCAAGTGTCGCTGCCGGAACAAATGTGAGCGTCAAAATTTCCGGTGAAACAATCGTTCGCCGGAAGAATACCCTTTTAGTGTTTAGTTCTGTTCTTTACTTCATCTCTTTCCTTCTTACTTTATTTTCATTTCGTGAGTATATAAAGATTTTTACTAACCTTTTAAAATTTATTTTAAATATATTTTTCTAATTGGTAATTATAAAAATAAACAAAGTTATATATTTTCTACCAAAAATCAAAGTTTTATATTTTAATTAAATTAGTTTAAATATATTTTTAATTGTTTTAAATTTATGATAAATTTTTTAATCTTTTAAAATTAGAATTAATATTTTTAGTCATGTAACTTCAAAAGAAAAATTATTTAATCCTTATACTTAAGTTTTTTATTATAGAATCTATCAAATATTATCATATAAATTTAATTACTTATGTTTTTACTAATGAAAATATTATATTAAACCTAGTTAATATTATAAAATTATATTAATTTGTCAATTTTAAATATATAAAAACTAAAATAAAACTTTTGAAAATTCAATAATTAAAAATATAATTTTAAATTTAAAAGATAAAAAATAAATTTATCCTAAATTTAAAAGATTAAAAACATATTTAAGGAAAAATAAAATAAAAGCATTGCAACCTAGGTAATATTAAATTTATAATTTTTTGCATTGTAATGTTTTTTGATGTATTTACCAATTATTTTATTTTTATAAAAATAAGCATTAAAAATATATATTTGAATAAAATATATTTATGGATATTAGTATGTATTTAAATAAATAGTTAGAATTTAAAAAAAAATCCATGTATATATATTAAATTACATACATATTTTAAAATATATATTGTAATTATTAGTATTTTGTATAAAATATATTTTCATCGTAAAAAAAAAGTAAATATACAATAACTAAGAAAATAATTATATAATTATTAGATATGTATTCCTACTGTTGTTAGTCTTTTATATGTTGTGAATTTAAATTTAAACTATTATGTTCCTTGTAAAATAAAAAATAAAAAAAATCAACTACTTTTCCTGTAAGAAACGTATCAAAATATTTGAATCTTGTAGATTTTGGGCCAAACGACTAATAGATCAGTTTATTTTGGGCCTCAGCATATTTGTAAGGTTTGTGATATATGCACCTCCTTTTTTCTATAAGTACGGAAATAGAAAAGGTTTGTGATATATGCACCTCATTTTTTCTATAAGTACACCTTCTTTTTTAAAAAAAATAATTAAATTTTAAAATATTCTTAATTTTTTTATTTTAAATTTTAAATTTTAAATTTTACATCCATAATATTTAATTTAGTACTTTTTTTCACATATCTTTCATCTTTTTTTTTAATTTTTACATGCACCCCTACCTTTCTTTCACTACACCTATTTTGGTAGCATGTGAAAACTAAAAGAGAAAAAAAAAAGTGTGTGAAAAAGGGTACTTACCAGAGTCAAATCCTTCACCGGCAAAGAGCCTTTCTTATGCTAGTTATGGTGGGGCTAGTCCTTTTTTTCTATTCAAAATGACTGTAAAAGTATATTCATATTACTCTTAGTGACATTGAGCGGAAAGAGACTTTGGGAAGAAGAGGGGTGTGGGATGTAGGGGTGCGGGGAAGGGGTGCGGATAAAAGAGGTGTAAATTTAGGAATTAAATTTTTTTTAAAAGGATAATTTAGACATTTTATATATATTTTTTTTTTAAAATAGGGATGTATTTATACGAGAGTTGAGGTATATTTAACATCTGCCTATTTGTAAATCTTAGGACTGCTTGTCATATGGATCAGATACTGCTGTACATGGGTTAGAGGATTAAATGACTCGGTTAGTAATACCTTTCCCGATATTAATAATCTGCAATAAGTCACAGTTTAAAATAAAGATAAAAAAACCAAAATTTTACAAAATAAATGGATTAAAAAATACTTCGATAATAATACATCCTTAAATAATTAAGACCATTGTGCTCAACCTCAAGTGTCTACTAATGAAATTAAATGATAAATAAATTTGCAAAAATACTAACCAAGCTAAAAATATAATTAAAGAAAAATATTAAGTCTTTAAGTCTCTTTAGTTATCAACATTACTCATGTTCTTAAAACAACACTTATAATTATATATAATTTTAGTTAATAAAATAAATAAAAAAGGATGAATTATTGTGAGGAAGTTCAATGTTTAGTTTTTTTTTTCATGAACTCGATTCATTAAATGCTTGCAATATATAGTTTTTGATAGTTAAATATTATTTTAATATAAATGAGAATTAAATTTTATAGTAACAACATATCTTATGACAAATCTTATAATTATTAGATAAATTTTTTTGGTTAATCCAATGTGTAGTCTATGACAGATAACTACATTGAATTGATTTATTTTAAAAAAAACAATTTTTTTAAATCTAACTAATTCATTTTATCAAATATGATTTGATTATAAATGACCTAAAATCTGGCACACAAAAATCCAAAAATATAGTATTTGTATTCAATTTTCCAAAAATGAAATCCTAAAATTTGTTTTATGTAAAGTAAATAGCAGAATTTTTAATAACTAAATACTAATATTTTAATATGTGTATTTTATAGATTAAATGTTTAATATATATATTTTTTTTAGTAAAAATAGGAAAGATTACAAAGATGGTAGTAATGAAGATTGAACTTAAGTCCTCATGTTTCTAACTACCACAATCTCTTCCCACCTAGTTACTAGGCTTGAACCACTAGTAGGTATGTTTATTATATATAATTAAAATTTATAATAAACTATATAAATAAATATTATATTAAATATATAAATTATATTTAAAATTTATATGCATAGATAACATTGATATTATATTTTTTTACTTTAGATGAATAATTTATACTATAATATAAAATTATTTTAATAATTGATAATTTATGAATGTTTTAATTAAAAAATTTATTATAATTATTTTGAGAAATTAACTTTTAATTTATAAAGAAATAAGATAGATAAATAAATAAAAACTGAAATAGAAATTAAGTCTCTAAAAAGGCTATTGGATGAGGAAATAGTGCTGGCTATGGGGTTCGAACCCATGCGCAGTTAACTGCAGAAGATCTTAAGTCTTCCCCCTTAACCTCTCGGGCAAACCAGCTAATTTGCTATTAATTATGTATATAATATTGAGTCTTAACATTCTCTTTCTATTATACATAAAAATTAAAAACACGCTTTTTGGTTCCCGCTTTCCCTTTTCTAGTGGTATAGTAATAGTAGTGGTCATGCACAGAACGTGGTTACCACTTACAACTTACTACTTATGCCAAATGAGGAAATCACATGCAAATCACTGTCTATCATTAATTCCAATCTACTAAAGTAGTTTTTTATTTTATTTTTTATTTTGCAATATTTATACTAAGGATTTAATATTCGTTAAACAAACATTATATCAACAATATAATTAAAATGATTAACATTTTTTTTAACAAAAACACTAAAACCCACAGAGAGAGAAAAGAGTAATATTTACATCGGTTAATAGAGCTAAATGTAAAAAGGACGGAAGGATATCAAACATCCTCACTTAACTAGATTAACATTTTATTTATACACTAACAATTGAATTTTTATATTGTTTGGAGTGTCAATATAATAGATAATGACATTAATGTAAATAATACTTATAGTGTACAAATATTTTTAAATATAAATCTATTTGTTTAATTATATCATGACTAAAAATAATGAAATTAAGTTTATCTAAAATTAGCTTTGTAAAATTTAAATACAAGTGTGATGTCTATATCGTTGTCACAAAGCATGGATTTAGTTGTCCAATGACAATAGTTGAAATTGAAAGGACACTCAAATGATATATTCAAGATTAGTCATAACAATAAGGCAACTCGTTACAAATTAGTATAATGAACATTAAACCTATTTAAATGAGGACCACTTTCCCATCATAATGCATTTAAAAATTTATAATTGCGTTCACAATGGAAACTTTCTACATTTGTTTTCCTTCTTCTACATATTATCACTTAAATAGTTTAATTTAGTTTTAATTTCATTTTTTTAATATATATGATTTATAAAATACTTAAATACATATTTGACCCCTTAACATAAGTATCACAAATGTTAATATATATCTATATATATATATATATAAATAAATAAGTAATTTTATACGATGAGGTGACACATGTAAAAAGCAAATAATATTACAAATTCATCCTTATTTCTAAATATAATGTTTAACTACTAAACTAATAATCAATAATTATCCTAAACCAACCCTTACACTCATTTGATTTTTAGTATAAAAAAAATATACGTAAAAAAACTATTAATAATAAGGTTTGAACCAAAGCTTACTCTTATACTCTAATTTTAGTTGAAATAAATTAATTACAAATTTTAATTAGAAATTATCTTAAAATATACGCATTATTTATTTTACTAACACATTTCAACTACAAATCAATTATATATATATATATATATATATATATATATATAT